AATTGAAATCAGGTTTCCCACAAGGCAAAAATTTTACCAACCACCACCATGGCCTGTCCTTTCTCTCTTTAATTCTAACAATTTTATTGACATCATCCACATACCATACAATGAAATGGTTTAAATAGATTAAAAATAGTTGTACAACGATCACTCCAATGTTTTAGAACTTTTTTTTTCTATTCTTGTGAATCCTCCATTCTTTCATGTGAACTTGGCTGAAACCTCCGAGGGCTGCTTCTTTTTTATGCTATGAGTCATAAATAGGCTTGATGGCAGTAAGGGATTTTTTGTTTTCTGTTTGTTTGAAGACAAGCCTTTAAGACCCCAGATGTTATTCTTTCAGGTAGCTGGGCACCATCTGATTTCTTCATCACACTTTGCTAGCACAACCAAAACTCCAGTGATCTCTTTAGGAGGGCAAGCATAGAGTAGGGTGCTACATCATAAGAACCAATTGTTCTTGGATTATACCTTCCTTAATTTTATATGAACCTTGGTAGTGCGTAGTGGTTAAGGGCTCAGCTACTGAGAGTCACCTGTGTGAACTCACCTGCAGCTCCAAGAGAGAAAGACAGTGATAGTCTTCTTCCATACAAATTACAGACCTGGAAACCCTGTGGGAATTCTGTGTCCTACAGGATGGCTAGGAGTTGGAATTAACTCCACAGTAACTGGTTGGGTTTGTTTTTATTCTGACTGGTAGGTGCTGTTGAGTGGATTTTGACTCAATTGATTCCATGTAACAAAGAACTGGCCTCCACAACTGAATGGTCTAAGGAGCAGTTGTGTAATTGAGGGGTAAGTTAAAGAATCAGACAAAGTCATGCAAGGGCTCACCTCTGGTTCCCTGGAGACTGGAACCAGAGAGAGAGAGAGAGAGAGAGAGAGAAGGCAAATGGATTCTCTCACAGGCTTATATAATCTCGGGCAAGCAAGCCACATTGTATATATACAACAGGAAGGGAATGTTTTAGAGGTATACACGTGCCAGGAAGGTACGTAAGAAACAAGATGAGTGGGTTCTAGACTTAAGATGATGGCTTAACCTTGGTCATCTCTGAGCTGACTTGACCGTAGGTGTCCCTGAGCTCTTCTTCAGAGGAGCAATCTATGATCCTTATCAGAAGAAGTGGGCTGTACTTGGGTGGTCTGCGCATTCTTGATGGTAGACAACCTTCAAGCAATTGACCTTCAAGCCTGTAGTAGCAACCAGGTGCTTGTAAGCAGCATCTTAAAAGTGGCATTATTACAGGGGACATTGTGGGGAATGACTTTAATTGAGAATGTGACTGGGATTTATCTCCAACTCATGACGTGAAGGCCTCCCTCCACCAGTCTGCCTCCCAGACTCCTTAAATAGGAGTTTCGAGAATTTGTCCTCATATACTCTTCATAGTTCTCAGTTTCCCACAATTGGGGTTTCTCTGTTGTAATCTTTACCTGAGCATGATGCCAAGTCGTTCTTCACTAATCTTTCAGTTATTAAACCTGTTTCAAATCAACTAAAGTTCTCAGGATTTGGTGGGGAGGAATAAATTATCTTGTACTCATATTTGAAAGTTCCTCTCAGGGAAATTATTAAAGATCACAGTATTAGTTCAATTTTTGCCCTGCTGTTGGATGAGATGGTTTATTATCTTTCAAAAACTCAGTTACACATTCTAAAATGGAAAGGATTTTTTTTTGGGGGGGGGGTGTCATGGCTGCCTACGGCTCCTACAGGAACAAACCATATAAAATGTCCTGACTGAAGAGTTAGTTGTTCATAATTTCTAATAACATACAATACTTTTTCAAGAAGGGATGAAGAAAAAATTGGCACTAAAAGTTGTCATAAAACCAGCTAATTTAGATCTTTTCATAACTTAAAGAGTCAATCACCGAAGCTGGGGAGAGTTCCTCTCTACAGTCCAAAGGTGTTGATGAGCCTTGGCCCTGCCACTAAGGCAACACGCGTTTTGAATCCAAATCCAGTCCGTTCCTTCTTTTCTCCTGAAGTCCTTGGCTGTGCAGTTACTACAATGGCTCACACCTGTGTTTCCACTCGGGTTACTTGTTATTCAAAACCCTTTCTGTCCTTGTTTAATGTCAATAGTTACAGTTACAGTCCCCTCTTACAACTCTCCTTGAATCCCAGAGAAAAAGGTGTGTTTTCCTGGTTCCTCTAACTTCCATTCCATAGTTTTTACATAAGACTCATTTGAAGAGCAACTTTCTTTACATAAGCATCACCATCTTTCAGGTCTATGGAATAGAAAGTAGTTCAGCTTATTGTGTCCCAGACCACACAACTTAATACAAGTAAGACGCCTCCTACAAAGGAGCTTTAAAAGTTTGCAAAGAAAACCCAAAATTCCATTATCTTTTAAGTCCATTTTTTCACCTCCTTGTATGTTTCTCAGAAACCCAAACTCACAGCCATGGAGTCAATGCTGACTCAGAGACCCGCGATGGGGCTCAGAGACGGTTTACTGTTTACAGGAGTAGAAAGCCCGGTCTTCCTCCTGGTGGAGCGGCTGGTGATTTCAAACTGCCGACCAGGGGGATCACAGCCCAACCCCTAACCACCGCCACCAGGACTCCTCTTTCTAGAATCTCTCAATTTATCCAAACAAATTATTAATAATTTATTTGAGATGGGGTTTCTCTTCGAAAAGCTGATGCTTCCAAAAGCACTGACAACTGAGAACATGGTGACTGTTTGGTAAAGTTAAATTTTTTTTAGCAAACAGGTAAGATATTGTTACTGACAGTAGTCAAACTTTGAGCACTTTGCAATTCACTAAACTCATTGACTTAAGGGCCCTCTAGCATTATTAAAATGGCAGGACAATACTACCCTCTAGGGGTAGAATTTTTATCTACAATTTCCTCCTCAAGGGTTAGGGACAAAAAATTAGGAGCTACAGGCATAGTTCCATTGCCATTGCATAACAAAGATTAGTCACCGCTTTGAACATTTTTGCTTTCAAAATTCTAGTCTCCCACTGCCAGTCTGATTATTCAAGGTCAATGATTTACAGCCCTTTCTCTTTCCACGTTCCTTTGCTCTGTGTGGAATCTGAAGCAAAAACTATTTAGATGAAGTATACAAGTTGGGATAAGGTGCCTGACCAGGATATTTTGCCTTAAAAAAACATTTTACTGGGAGCTCTTAGAGATAGTATAATATAATAATATAACAGTGGATAATATAATTCACTGTTCGATCACTCAAGTAGTAGTATACAATTGCTACCACAACAGTTTCAAAACATTTTCTTTCTTCTTGAACTCCTTGATCAGCTCCCCTTTATCCCCTCCCTCCCTCACCATACCGCCTCTACTCTGCCCCCCCACCCTTATTTTCTTTTTCTTTCTTTATTTGTCATATCTTACACAATCCTATCTATCGATTCACATACAATTCTGTTGTTCTCCCCTTGAGTGGGGTTATACAGTCTTCAATGCTATCAGCTCCCCATCTCCCCCTCCCCTTCCTTTCCTTCTCTTCCAGTACTCAGGGAACCAATAAGCAAATGTGGTGAAGAAAGCCAATGGTGCTGACTATTAAACAATACAGGAGCACCTTATGGCAAAAACCCAATAATATATATTAAGGGTTCAGGGGGCTGGGAGGGTGTGGGAGGGGATAAAAGGGAGCTGTTCTCAAGGAGTTCAAGAAGAAAGCAAATGTATTGAAAATGATGATGGCAACAACTGTACATTTATGCTTGATCTAATGCAGTGGTTCTCAACTTTCCTAATGCTGTAACTCTTTCATACAGTTCCTCTGGTTGTGGTGACCCCCAACCATAAAATTATTTTCAATGCTACTTCATAACTGTCATTTTGCTACTGTTATGAATCGGGCAACCTCTGTGAAAAGGTCGTTTGACCTCACAGGTTGAGAACCGCTGATCTAATGGAACTATGGATTGTAATAAATATGTAAGAGCTCCTAATAAAATGCTTAAAAAAAAAAAAGATATAGCATCTGGGGTCTTAAAGGCTTGTAGTTAGACAAGCAGCCATCTAGCAGGCAAACAACCAAGCCCACACGAGAGAAGTGCACCAGCCTGTGTGATCATGAGGTGTCGACAGAAAGAGCTATCAGTAGTTCAAAAAGACGCAACCAAATCATTGTGTGTGGATGCAGTGGAGACCCAAAATCCTCCTGTCAGATAATTAGACAGTCCTTCACAGAAGGGCCACACGGAAAGGGTGATAAATCCAGGGAACTGAATAGCACTGATGAACCACATAACTATCTGCTACTTCTTTCTCCCCTTACTATTATGACATTATGCATGTTAGATATTTTGCTTTTTGAAGAAAATAATTCTGGTAAAATGAGTGATGAGATAAAATGTATGGCTGGTGATTTTCAAACTCCTGTCCTTGCAGGTAATATTAATCCATTATGCCAGCAGGGCTTTTTGAGGAGTGTAAAGGTAATCATAAAACTCATTTTAGAATTATTGGGAGAATTAAGTGTGAAGCACTTAGCACACTGTTTGGTTACAGTAACTGCTCGGGTTAGGCAAATGAATGACGGCATTATCGAACTTTTCTAATACTCATTTTTGACCTTTGCAGCCCAGTTAATGATCAATGCAGAGAGCTAGCTTTTAAAATTTCCTTTGTTCCCGATACTTTGCTAATAGGATGTAAGCTGTCCAGGAAAGCTCTGGGGGCTCCGCATACCCCTCGGAGGAGGCCTTTGTGCCCGGGATCTCGGGGTTTCTGACCGGACCTGAGATGGCTCCAGCCTTCTCGCAGTGCCATAAGCCGCGCGGCCGGCGGACAGACGTGAGCCCCACCAGCCAGCCGCCAAGTCCGGGCCTTTGGTTTCGGGTCTGGCCGCCTTCCTGCGGGTAGACCAGCGCACCTCCCCTGGCTACTCCGGTGCTGGAAAGCACGGCCGCGGCGGTGTCGCAAAAGCGTCGCAAAAAGCTTCCGTCCTTGTCGGCGGCAGGCCACCTGTATAAGCGGAGCGTGCTGGCGTTGGAAAACTAGTATGGAGGCAGGGGTTGCCCAGGCTCCGTGGGCTCGCCGGGACTTGATGGCGAGGCGGCTGGCTGGTGGGCCGGACTGCTGAGCTCTCGCCTCCAGAGCCCCCGGGCCATGCTGCCCTCGCGCGTGGTGCGCGGCTCGTGGGGGGCCCTGTGCGGCGCCGCCTGGGCGCGGGGGGCGCGGCCGGGTGAGGGGCGCGCCCGCCGGGCTCTGCTCCCGCCGGCGCCCTGCTGCCTGCGCTTCCTGGCGGAGCGCCGGTGGCTGCGTCCGGCCGCGCTCGGCCTGCGGGTGTCCGGCGCCCGGCCGCGGGCCCACTGCTCGGGCGCGGAGAAGGCGGCGCCCGGATCTGCAGCCGGAGGGAGTGCTGCCGCCCAGGCCCCGGCCGGCCGCTGGGGCCCGGCGAGCGCCGCCAGCCTGGTACGTACGGAGGAGGAGGTGCCCGGGCCGGGGTCGCCAGCCCTGCCTGCTGGCGAATCGTGGGCGCCGGCCGGCCGGCCGGCCGAGGACTTGTGAGCCCCTTCTCTGGAGCGTACTCACGGCACGATCCGAATGGTCGGGGTGAATGTCAGGGGCACGGAACCCAGGCCCGCCATCGGTTTGGCCCCGTTAGCTCCGGCGGCAGGCCGGCTCCCCTTTTATCCACGCCCACTGGAAAAACGGCCTTCCCTTCTTGTCTGTTCGTGAAAAGCTTGGGGTTTTCGGAAGCGAATCCCCAGGGTTTAGGGCGAGACTGGGAGCATCTTCAGAAAGATGTGTAATCCTTTCGGTTGGGTTCGCTCTCGGTTTTAGTAACCTTACTGCAAGATGTAGCGTAGTTACATCATTTAAATTGTCGTTTGTGGACCTGTTAGGCTCTTATTGTGGAGAAATATGAAAACTCAGTTCTTGAGGTAAGGAATCCAATAGGTTGGTTCCCCCCCCCCCCAGTTGCCTCCCTTTTACCTATGAATACTGCCCAAGCAGAAGACCCCGGAGCATGAGTGTGAGAGCTGCTATTGATGTCATGTTAGCAAGACTCATGCAATTATTACATCTTCAATTGTTATGTCTTCAGTGGGCCCCTGTCCTGCCTTCATCAGATGTACAGCATGGGTTGAGGGGGCACATCCTGGATGGGGTCCTAGCTCCCTTTGAATGCTGGATGTTTTGAAGTTGCCGAATCCTGACGGAAGCCCTTGCCGGAACACCAGTAGTTGGTCGAGTATGCCACAGGTTATCTGGTTGGGTAATCTGAGATTATCTCTCTTAATTTTACTTTTGAAACCTTTGCAGGTTTTATGATTAGAAACTAATGAGGTGGTTTTAGTTGGACGCTGTTAGGTAGAGCTCAGAAGAACCCCTTTCACTGGTCCGGGAGCATTCGGTCTCTCCTTTTAAATCATCCCAAAGATCTCTTTGCAACTTTGTTTTGAATTTTACTCCAAGAATAGCTCTAATAGTAACGAATTGTCCCCAAGGGCAACTGGTTTATTCTGACCTTGTGCTTTGTTAAATTTTTAAAAAAATTCTCACTCAAGAACTACCTTTGTTTTCTCTCCGAGTTGCAGTGACTTTGGGCCGGTATTTGATTTATTCTGTGTCATGGGATAATCAACAGACTTATCTTTGCTTTTCCCCCCTCTCTCTCTGGACTCTGGAAACACTCTGACCTTTGAGCTTGAGTTTGGAACATCTTCCAAGAATGCTCCCGCTTAATTGTATGTATATGAATGTGTTCTGCTTTCAATAACACACAGAGTACTGCTTCATGATTGGAGATTGCTCTCTGGAAAATGGTACATTTTTCTGTAGCGCCAGTCACTCCTTCAGCAAGTTCAATGTTCGGGGCAAGTTGTGTTTATGACACACACTTCCTGTGTTTAGAGAACACCTTTTCTTTAACGAGTGAATCTTTAAATTTCTTGAAAGGTGCTTTTAGGATAGCAATGGAAGCTTGTACCAAGATTAAGTTTCAGACAAGTTAATTACTGATTAAGACAGGGTAAGTAGAGTTAGTTCTCTTGAGGATAAAGTCCATTGGGTGGGATTGACAATCCTGACTCAGTGGAGAAAAAACAAATCCAGGCTTTAGTCAAAGGCATTTTTGGTGTTCAATTTCTGCCCACTTGTGCAGCGTCCCAGGTTTCTAGGCAGAGGCTTGTAAAAGAGAAAACAGTCTCACGAAACATTCCGTTTTCTGGGAAGGGATGTTCGTCAGAGCAGCTGCCAAACAGCCCTGTGTGCGCCAGCTTTAAGGGCTGAGCTCCAAATTAGGTTTCAAGGAATTGTAGAGCGTCCACCAGGGACTGGCTTTCCAGCAGCTGGGGGGGG